TATAACAATATCGCAGGTTATTCGCCAGGACACTAATGAGAAATGAATCCTGCTAATTCGCCAGATCTCAATCCAATTGAGACTATTTGGAGGATAATAAAGCAGCGTTTGAAGTCTAGGGGGGTCATCTTCGAAGAAGCCATTCTGCGCAGGGCTATTGAGGAGGAGTAGGATAAAATCACTCTGGATGAGATTAATAAGGCTATCTCAACAATGCCAGATAGAGTAGCTGCCCTAAACGAGCGAAATGGGCGCCCTATCCCCTATTAAATGGCTGTGTAGCATAGCAGGAATCTGAGAAGTGCCATAAATTTTGGCGCCAAGCTTCGGACCGACAGAGCCAACTAAATCACATCAGCTGCAATTAAACAGTGGACGACCATGCAGTCAGAGCATTCTGAACAAACCAGCTTGGCGGGAGTGTGCATCATTACTCTACATGGTTTAACGTCGCTAAAAGAAAAGTCACTTTTCGGCGGTAACTACTACTAGTTACACTGTAACTGAGTAGGTGGTACGCATAGTCATTGATCTCTACCTTTCTGAGTTAGCATAGAGGACACATCAACACTCATTCCCGATCACATATGCTGCGCATCCGACCTAGCATGCGCCTTCTCGATGCTGTGGCCACACCACTGTGGCTCTTTGCTCATTGAGGAGCTCGTATTGGGTTATACTTTTATGCCCACTACGCATGCCACACAGACACAACTTCGACCTTCACTGGCTCGAACTACTGCCGCTGCCTGTATTATCCTTACCACCATTCAATCAAATACTTTCGACCTTTGAAGAGGCTTCTGCAACCCACGCATATGAGTCTGCCCACCGAAGTGGACGTACAGTGGAGTTACACGACATCCGATGGAATGCGACCTGCAAGCAACATCATATGGATCCAGACCCGGCCTGCTTGGAGCACTGAGCACCCTCGACTGCCCAAATGTCCGAAGATATAAGCGTCCTGTATTCCTGCCTTGAGAATCAAATCGCAACTTATTCTTAGTCACACGCCCAGGCCAAAAGTCAGAGACTTCTCGACTCAGGAAAAAAGCGATACAACTACTAGTACTAGCTCTAGTCCTCATTCTGTCAAAATGTGTCGTTGGTTTGTGTATATCTCGCCCGAGGAACCCTGTCTGCTCTCCGATGTCCTCATCGACCCTGCCAATGCACTTTCAAAGCAATGCTCCGAACATTACCTTCCTCAGCTACTTCCCCAAGGCCAGGAGCATGAGCTTGACGACGCTGAAGACGCGCTCCTCAAATTGCGCAACAGCCTGCTCAACATGGACGGCCTCGGGATAGCCTGGTATACCCAGGCAGCGGCGAACTATGTCAAAAGCGTAGAAGGACCAAGACCGGCTCTTTACAAGTCCCAATCCCCTCCCTTCAACGACTTTAATTTCCGAAGTCTCTGCGGCAACACCGAAACCAAATGTCTTCTCGCTCACATCCGTGCTACGAGTGGCAGTATAGTTGCCCAAGTCAACAGCCACCCATTTGTCTTTGGCCGTCACGCCTTCATGCACAATGGCGGAATCTCCAATTTCCTAGACATCCGACGCGATATGAGCGACCTGATGAGTTACGATGCCTATTGTAATATTCTAGGAACCACCGACTCCGAGCACGCGGCTGCGCTGTATATGACCAATCTCACTGCAGGGGGCACCAAAGATACGTGGGAGAAACAATATCCTATCTCAGATATGTTCAACGCTATGAACAAGACCGTCGTCCAGATCATGGAGCTTCAGAAAAAGCAACTGGGTGAAAAAGCCACGCCCAACAGTCTAAATTTCTGCACCACCGACGGCAGCAAATTGATTGCCATTCGCTTCCGCAACCACGTAACCCAGCAGCCTCCAAGTTTGTACTGGAGCGAGTTCGCCGGAAGAACCTTGAACCAAAAATTTCCAGGTAACCCGGACGCGCCTCAAAAGGTGAATGAGGAAGCAACCAAGAGCGACAAGGACAGAATCGGTAAGCACACCATTGTCGCCAGCGAACCCACCACCTATGATGAGGCGGAGTGGCATTTGATCAGCCGTAACTGCGCCCTTACGGTAGATGAGCAGGGCAACGAGAAGGAGGTCCCGCTTGAGTATGACGATTCATTGAACATACGTAGTTAGAGCGTGGAACGAAGGTCGTGGCCCGAGTGGACTGTGCTGTGCCCTTCAACCCGCACTTACTATGCAGTAGTTCGTTCCTTGGTGGGTCCTCCTGCCTCACTAGGAGTCGCTCCTTGGACTAAGCAGATACCTTGCATCACCGTAACGATAGCGGTCGACACGTCAAGCTCCATTCCCACTCTGGCTTGAAGTTCTCATAAAAATTGAACCGAAGCTCGTTAGTGGCCTAGAATACAAAATATCCTCATCTTTGCTCAAGTTGTCACTATTTACATCCAGCAAATGTGAGCTCCACGTTCCCTTCCCTCCTCCTCCCCCGGGGGGTCCCGATGGACTTAGGTTAGTAATCTCCTTCCCATCCCATCTCGGACCCGGAGACCCCAGCTCGGCTCGTGCCGTAGTCTAACCAACAAAGGAGTTCCCTGGATCGGAAACATCGCTGAAACATGTATCCGATCTTTGTTCTCTCTTTTCTCCATTAACGCCCTTCTCGTTTTGTCTGCCCCTTTCTTCCGCCCCCGTCTCCGAGGTGCCGAATTTTCGAACGTCAGATTTTTGGCCGCCTTTCGCAACATTGTGTACCACTAAGATTGGGGGGTAAGGGGGAATTCATCGCTTGATTCTCCCGCTATGAGAGTTTTCTCTCGGGGGTGCATTGTTTAACTGGTTAGGGCGGTTATGAGATCGGATGTCTACGTAAAGAACTCTTGATATGTTTATGGCGTTACACTGGTGCTGTGCTTGGTAGGAGTGGTGGTGGTGGTAGTCAGGGGGTGCGGGCAAGGGAACGCTGGCGCTGGCGCTGGCGCGGGCCAGTGAGGACCGGTTGGATGTTGATACTTGGGGGAAGTTGAATCGCGATCCCGTATTGGGGGGTTGGGAAGTGTGTTGAGTGGGAGGAGGAAGGAGTTGGATAAGATGGGGAGTAGTATGGGATGGGAAGGGAAGGGAGAGAGGCTGTGAGGGGGTTGATGTGTGTGGTTTTGTAGAGTCAGTTTTGTAGATCGCTTTGCTGGAGCGGCCATCAGTCCTATAGCATTTCTTCATCTACATCATGCTGTGTGGCAGCATGGTGGCCGCTTCGTGAACCTCGAATCCCCACCCCTCTGTGATTGGTGGACTCTCATCCGTCACCAATTTATTACACATCAGCTTGAGAAATTGCGGACTACGATCATCAGGACTCACCATTACATCGCTGGAGAATTATTGTCGTCTCGTCCCTATCGTCTTGTAATTACCAGTTTCAGTTGAGAGAAGGAGAAGGAGAAGGAGAAGGAGAAGAAAGCCAACGGGAGGAGGCGAATGACAGTAATATCAATTCTACCAGGAGATCAAACGTTCTCACACGCACACCGTCGCGACACTATACCAGACAAGATATACTGTATCGATACTATCATCGCCACCACCCTTGAATCCCAAACGGCAGTTCACCAATCAAACTCCGGTCCAAATCAATCTCGATCCACCCTACCAGTAGAAACACCGGCGTGCAGCAGTCCCGCAATCTCAAATGTCCGGATCAGCTGAGCCACCGCAGCCGGAAGGCTATAACACAACACAATCCGCCAGGCGTCATTCACGCCGATGAAGAGCAGTGACGAGAAAATCATCGTGCCCATGAACAGATGCACCACTGAGAAGACGGATAGCACCACGCCAAGCACAGCGGCCAGGCATGTCTCGTTGCCGGAGGAGAAGTCATGTCCTTCTCGTAGTGCGCAAAGTCGGGTTTTGGCGGTGATGAGACGGATGGCTGTGCTGTAGGTGGCCTTACTGGGCGACTTTGGGCTTGCTTGCTGCTGATTGGTATCAGAAAGCCGGGAGGGGGCCAGTATGATCATATTCCAGGGTAGAGTTCGTACCTTCTCCCCGAACGAGTGCAACCTTATCATGGCGCAAAGGTGGATGGCAAGGTGCAGAGCGACCCACATCAGGGGCAGATAACATTGGTCTTTCTTCCACGTGACTACCGTCTTCAGACCCAGGTTAAGTGAGGTGATAATGACGTTCGAGGCGGCAGCGAGGGCTAAGAGATACTGCAGGAGACTGATCAGGATGTGAGCCCAGCGGGGCAAGGGCGTTATGCGCGGCATTGTTGCCGTTGCTTGCTTCAAGGGCCCTAGTGGATCTTGATAGTCGAAAGCCCGGAAAGGATAGAAGGCTGGGGCTGCGATAGCGAGCAAGAAGGAGAGAAAGGGGCGTTCGAGCGCCAGAGTTGTGGAAACCACTAGCGAAGGACCCAGAGACGACAGCAGGCTAGGCATCAGTCCGAGGACTACTCCCGCACTCGCCATGTTGGCTTTGATCGTCTCGGTGGTATTCGCTAGGATACAATCAGCATGATACGCGATGCTCAATTCTGGTAGAAGCGAGTCGACGCTGTGGTCCCTGTACTGTTGGAGCGTACTGTTACAGGCGTTGCTCGATGACTCTTGGAAAGATTTGGCGTATGTTCTAAACCAAGTCTCAAATTTCTGTCTTGGAAAAGTGTTGGATGCAGAAGATTTACCCATCAGACAAGACATGATAACGATAAACCCAAAGAAAAGCCCCATCTTCGTTTTCATCATCGTCTCCATTACCATTAATCTCATCAATACTGATGGTTGTGCTTCCTGGAAATTCCATGATCGACATACTATCAAGTATATGGACCCTCAAGGCGAGAGGTCGCACAAGACTCGTCTCTTGAGACAATGGATTCAGATGGTGGGCTGAATTTTGTGACTGTGCAACATGCCAGATATTTTGTTGTGCTCTTGTGAGTGGAAGCCTCATTTCGACCCCAAAACTGAAGCCATCTGCTCTATATTACACGAGCTTCCTATGGCAATCGGTGTTTATCGAACGGATCTTAGATGAAGTAAGAATAGCACGTTATTCTCTCTATGGAGGGGTTGGATGCGTAGATATGTATAGAATTGCTGTACGCGGTATGACAGAATTTGCTCTGAGATTGCGTTGGAAATCGAGCAATCGCGCCGGTAAAGAGCGGAAGATTAAACGTGACAGATCTGGCGAATAGGCGCTTTCACACCTGACAGTATTTCTGCTAGTCTCTGATTTTGCTTGTCAGCTTGTTGTGATCTGATGTTGGTGGTAAAGCACTGCTCATAGCCAATATCCGAGTGATAGCATGTCAGTCGAGCCCCTCTGTAAGCATGGAGCTGATGGATGGACTGACCAGTACTTATTTGCAACCACGCCCACCACATTCTCTATATCTAATGGAGGCTTGTTATACAAGCGATTATATTGCCGGATAAAGTGCTGGCAGTGCCTATTTAGTTTGAATGCCATGCCCAGCTAAGGGTTCAGCTCCGAAGGCACTGGCGGTGGGGATGTAAAGGTAGAAGTAAAATTCAACACTGGCGAATATGATTCATCTTCTGGCTTCTCTTGTTGTTGTGGCAATGGCGGTATGTGATGCATCTGAGGTAGACCTCCTATTGACTGATCCTGGCGGTCCGGTGTAAGACACTGTTATTCCAGGGTCAGGACTCTTCCTGCTGATCGCATTCAGCCATCTAGGCGCCGACGGCTTGATACATTTTGGCTTCAACACAGGAAGCACTGGATCTCTAGACCTAGGCCGTGATGCGTGACATGTACCGTGATAAGCACCAGGCGGGACGGGCTTTCCGGGCAGGAAGGTCTTCAGAGCTAGCAGGCCCTAAACCTGGAGATGGTTCGGGTAGTGTCTCTCTCTCTCTCTCACGCCCTGGTGCATTGGACATGGGGACAGTAGACAGACCCCTAAAGGGTGTACTCCAAGGTCTTCCACTGCATGGACCAGTGAGCCTCGGATGGTCGTCTCCCCAGTTGTTACTGAAGTGACTCGCCTATTCATTGGAAACCTTCCGCCCGCAGATGAACGAGCTAGCTGTTGTTGCAGCGAAGTATTTTGGGCAGCCGCTTGTCCACTTCCGCGAGTTTGAGGAGTCGGCATGACTCTTCCTGTTCTTGCAGCCGCTAAATGCGCAAGGTGGCCCGGCATGTCCTTGGATACAACCACAATGCACAGCATCTCCTCTTCCGCAGATGAGACATGTCATATTGAGCTTACCAAAGAACTATATGGACTGTAGAGCCGCAGGTGAAGGGTGTACAACGGAGGAAATACTTACAATACTTACGTTGTAAATTCTAGGCAAGCCGCAAGAGAGATCGTAGTAGCAACACAAGCGTGATGCCAACTCCCGTACATTTCAACTTCCTATTGAGAAGGCGGCACGATCTGTCCATTCATTCATTATATATTTTTTATTCTTGCAGGAGTCAAACTGTACAGGCCTTCGGGCCGGTGGGCCCCAACATGGGATGGTCTCGTTCTAGAAGGCCACTGCAGCTGATACCGTGTCATTACTGATGCGACGAATATCAAACTGCGTAGATAGAATAACCCTTGTAGTCAGACGTCACCATTCTTGTAGATGTGATTAATGTGATACTGGAAGTGAAACGACAAGTTCAGCAGAAGCGGCAGACTTGGCACTTCAACACCCTCACAGTGGCACTGCATGTCTACCACGTCTACCCAGTCTACCAATCTTCATGAGTTACCACCAGTTAGTGGATCAGAATTCACAAGGAAAGGGTTTGAGGGAGGATTGCAGACCACCAGAATGCATTTACTAGTGTCATCTTCTTCTTCCCTAAACCTATTGGTGAGTTGTTTTCATATCGCCCTCTCAAGTAGAGTCGATTTCCCCCCCCCCTTCAAAGTTTACCTTTGGCTGCTCCACTCTACAATGTCTTGTTCTTGGGATGTAGGTAGCAAGTCGGACACGCTTCTCAAAACATTAGCACATCTCACGTGACTAAAAGAGCAACATCAAGCGTTGAAGAAGTATAGCAAGTAAGCTGAGGCAAAATGGCTGAACGCCGTGCTGCCGAAGATCCACGGCCCCCTCGCGATGCTTCGCCTCCAGAGCAAGTGGTGGAAGATTCTCATCTTCCCCAAAGCGCTTCTGCTCCATGGCAGGCTGCACGAAATATGCGGCCATCCCCAAGTGCGCCGCCTGCACGACAGATTGCCCGCTCCGCTAGAGATGGAGACGGCCTACGGACTCACATTCTGCCGGCTTCGCAGAGCGTGCCATCTCCAGGACAGGCTGCAGCACGTCCGCGGGCATCTCCAAGTGTATCGCCTCCACGCAATGCTGCCCGTTCAGATAGAGGCGCAGAGGGCCCAAGCACCCGAGGTCAGCAAACTTTTAGAAATGATGTGGCTGAGCAGCAGGTCGTCCCACGTCGGCAAGCCACCCGAAGTGATTTAACACAACAACAGGCTGCTGGTTCAACTGAAGGTGGTGGGAGTCCAGGTTTCTATGGTACGCATGCGTCTCCAAGTGGTCCGGCGCAACAGCAAACAGTCACCTCAAGTAGGAGTAGGCAGAACCAACTGGCCCATTGTACGCAGGCGGGTCATAGTGCTTCAGATCAGCAACAGACTGCAGGCTCAGCAGGTGCTGGAGACGGCTCAAGGGTCAGACATCGGCACGGCTCAGGAATAGGGGCAAGCAGTGATATCGCTCTTCCACATCGGGATTTAGCGACCGGGTGCACAGAAACTCCTTCCCAAGGCCTTGGGTCTCGAAATCGTATAACTCAAAACCAAGGTGCGGGCTCAGTGGAAGGCAGACAGGATTTACACCTTCAGAGTCTAAGAGGGTTGCCTAAAAGAGGGACACAATTTGACCCGAGAATAACACATCACAACAATCATAGGCAGGCGCGATTGCCACTAGGAGAGCCGTGCTCCAGAGAAGAGACAATCAATCCTATCCCGAACAACTCGAAATTGACAAAGCAAGAGCAAAGACGAGCGAAAAGGCATCATCGGTACTATACTTGTCTCAGAACCGACATCATACTTGGTCCCAAGACTGACTCAAAAGATGGGGCACTCGCTGGCGCGCTAACTGCACACGAGTTTGCAGTCTGCCTCGTGTCAAAATATAATAGAGAGCTTCCAAGAGGCTGGCCTGGAATGAAGGTGGTTGATGACGCTGAGGACGACGTCTCGAATGGAGATGCATGGCTCCTAGAAATGGGTATTGATGACCACGACGAGGAACAACCTTGTGAGTCATTTCCAAAGCGTTAATGTGAATTAATCATCTAACAATCATATATCAGGGCCATACTGGTTGGTCTCACCGGCGCTGAGAGTACCTTGTACGCCTACAAGGAGTGAAAAGCCCGGAGAAACAAGAGAGGGAGGAATCGACTGGAGGAAGGTTACTGCCTTTACTTGGGACCATCTCAGTAAAAATTACGTGCTTGACGAAGCCGGCACAAGCTTTACCACAATTTCCACCTGGTCACGAGGCAACAGATACACCCCAGGAGCAGAGAAGCTGTATGTGTCCAGACTCAAGCGCCTCTGCATAGCCATCATCCACTTTGAAGATGTGTTCCACAGGGTGATGGAGCATACGGATCCGCCTCCAGCGTGGTATATTGACGATCCCCATTTCCAGAGAAACTGGCGTGACAATCCCAACCTCGGCCGGCTGCCGCTCACCCAGGCCCAGAGTATCTACCAGATCGCGGCGATAGAGGACAAACCGGAGAACATGGAGCGCCTACTGCAATCGATCGAGCCCGAACTCCACGATCCGGATAACCTATATTGCTGGGCCCCCAAAAGGTCCTTCCGAGACCACGGCTTCGACGACGACCACGAAATCACATTTTTCATCTCACGCACGTGCACCAGCGCGGCCAACGCGCTCAACTGGATAGAGACGGTCACGCTCTTCGTCCGCGCCGCCTTTGCATGTCCGGCCCCGCTTCTCGGAAACAGGAAATACCCACCAAACCTTCAAGGATTCGCCCGCTTCCTGCGAGGAAACCACCGTCCCGACGGCACGAGTTACCGGAGAGATTCTAGCGGAGACTCGTCGTCCAGTTCCGGAAGTGAATAGCAAGAGCGTCCAATCCCTATCCGTGTCTCCCTCTCTCTCTTGAGAACAGAAAAACGAAGCACGTTCCGCTAACAGAAATGGATTATCTACTTTTCAATGTTACAGCGTTCCTTGTCTGACTTTTACCATTTTCAAGTATAAACAGAACAGAATAGGATGGCACAGAACAGAACAGAACAGAATAGAGTAGGATAGCGCCTTTCCCTTGGCACAACGATTACTTCAAAACTGTGGTTGGAGACCGAATCTGAACTGGATTTAGGTGAAGATAGGCGTAGGCTACGATGGTCCATGTCATTCATACATGGAAGGTACAAGACGATGTAGAACCCATCTACGTGGTTCATTGCCACGAATGCAAAATGCCCTGTTCTACGCCACCGCCGCCGCCGCCGCCGAGCTGAATGTACGAAGGCGAGCCAGGGATATTTGAGACGTGAGATCCCGGGAGTAGAGAAAACCATAGTATTCAGTTTCCGCGCGCACACACACACACAGGCATCAAAACGGGAGAGATAGACTTAAGAAGAAGAGGAGCCGGAACAGATCCATCAATGCTTATCTATTCCTACTTTTCTACGAGGTAGCAGAATAACCCTTTGGTCACAGACCGCGGACCCAAAGTCTCAGGCCACTGGCCGCAGCACCGATCTCACAGACGTCACAGATCCGACAGATCTGGCCCCGGTAGCGATCATGGTATTTTGCACCATCGAAGGGACAGGCGACACTGGGGCTACCACCGTAGATGGGGGTATAGGAAGCGGCACAGACGTCGAATTCGGCAAATGGATCGAACTCGATGTCCAACTGGTCCGTCGATCCCGCTCGTTCGCTTTGTGTCTTCACTCTGGTCGCCTGGTGTGCATTAGTATCTGAACGTAGCATATGGGGGACGGGAAGATAACTCACATTCTCCACCAGTTTGGCCGGTGTGCCATTGGCGATTATTCGGTTGGCAAATGAGAGCGACGATGAATATTGTTTTTTGGAAAATGCTTGCTTCATGGCCGCGGTGAGAGCTAGTTGTCGGTGGGCGACCTCGAGCTTGGGTATGGTGAAATAGGCATTCAGTTCTAGCTGCCTCTTCAAGGTCTGTTCTGCGTCGCTCGCTGAGGCCATCTCTCTTCTTGCGAGCTCGACGCTCATCGCCAGGGTGTACTCTACTGCTTTGCTGATGATCGACCTAGCTTCCTCCACCTGCGATTGAGAGCCCACGACGTTGACAAGAAGAGAATGCAATATGACCTTGAATGTCGTCACCCCGTCAGCCAGTTTATTCATCCGCATAGCCGTGTAGCCTTCTTGTAAGTCATTTGCAGCTATGGTCTCAAGATCCCGCGGAATCATTGGTAGCACCTTCCGAGCATCAGTTTCTTCAACTGTTCTTCGGACATAATTGACCAGAGGAGGCAAGCCTGTTGATGCTGACAGGAAAGTCTTGCTCGCTGTGTATATCTCCATGAATCTTGGTTTCAATGGTGCGAAGTTAACTGCGCCCACCTGACGATTCAATAATTGCATAGCAGACTCCAAACTACCAGCAGCAACATGGTCAGCTGCCAACGGTGAGTTGCGGGACCAAATATCAGCCTCTGAGCTTCCAGAACCACCAGCGACTACATCGTCAGGGTTATCGACTTTGACGAAATCAGAATCGGCCCCGGCGGCATCCAGCGCAATATCATCTCCCATGTCCCATCCCTCGCCAGCATCCTCTTCTTCATCGCCAAGGCCAGCCTTGACACTTGGATCGTCGGCTGGCGGAACATCTTCATCGAGAAGGTCCGTGGTCGAGTCCTCAATAGCATCTCCGACCTCACCAGCAAGTGCCTTTTCAAAAGATGAATGAGATGCAGCCTTCATCGGCCAGTTTTCCTTGTATGTCGGCACGATGGTTACTGGTGTTGTAGCTGGCGAGCCTAGACTGGGCAGCGAAATCTGATCCTCGGACAAACCTGTCGCTTCCAATATCGATTCGCATTCTTCCGTCAAACCATGAGATCTGGCTGTAAGATAAGCAAGGGGATACAAATCAAGCTCTCTGAACATTTGAATGCGATTCTCGACACTTCCCAGGTACAATGCATTTTGAAAGCGAGATGTGGAATCGCCACGATGCTCCGCAATCTTTGCCATTCTCGTAAGCTTCTCCTCATTCCCAGTACACAGATACAGGAAGGATAACTTATCAAAGTTCCTTAGCTTCTGGTAAGTCATCTCCACGGTCTGGTGATTGCCGTGACTGAGCGCCTCGGCACCTAATCTCGTCCAGATCTTAGGCCTGTCTAACTGGTTTGCCATCTGTGTAGCGACCTCAAGGTTGCCGCATTCGATGGCCAATTCAAAGCGGGTTTGTGGATCTTGCACGAACTGGAGAGCAATTTCAGGATAGCCTTTCTTTTGCAAGTAAGAGATGATGCTCTGCCCAACCAAGCTGGATGTCTTGATGATCTGCAGCATTTCATCATAGTTTCTCCTAATCAGGGCGAGTTTAAAGCGATATTCCGTTGGATCGATGGTCAAGACTTTTGGCTTCGCTGCACGATCTAGACAGTATACATTTCTCGCTTTGACCTGCACAAGATATACTGTCTGATCGAGTGTCCGCACGATCCCATTGTCGCCATTAAGGAGAGTGTATTTGATGTGATTAAGAGTAGAATAGAGAAGTACACCGGTGTTATCCCATGTAGCGCTCTTGATGCGAATAGTTTCGTGCAGCGTGCTGACCAGCTCCAGCGATTTGGTCACGATTGTGACATTGTGCTTGCTTAGCAAAGCCGCATGAAGGCCATCGTTGGACCAGGATACGTACTTCACCCCGGCCACTGTGATATCTGCCAATTGCTTCTTTTGCTGGATGTCATAGAGGACAACGGCGGTGGGGGATATGAGGAGTAGGCACCCTGTACTACCGAAATAGATATCATTCGTCCCGCCTGGGGCCTTGAAAGACTTGGTGGTGGAGTTGCTCAGGTCTTTGATCTCTACAAGCTGAGTGCTCTGGGTGAAGACTGCGAAGCGGTTGCGAGCAACGAATACTGCAGAATTGCCTTGACCTCGCTTTATGTCCGTAGGATCGGAAACACCCGTAGCATCTTTTGGTAGGCCAACAAGTTCATAGATACCATTGTCTGTTGGTGAGGTGACCAGAACAGCTCGTTCCGCAGGATTGTAGGATAGCGTCCTTGGTGGCACCCAGGTATTGCCGAATTTTCGTAAAGACAACAACGACGGCGACTCGACATGGTTCGAGAAATCATATGAGCGGACATGTTTGTCCTTCGTGACATAGAACAGTTGATTTTGATAGACAGCAGATGCAGGCCTTTCCCGCTCTAGCTTGAACACCATTACCCCGTTATCGTGACCTGCTGCGAAAAGATTGACTTCAGGGTGAGCAGCGATTACCCAGAATCGGTCGTTCTCTCGTTTGAATGATTGAACAGAAGTTCTTTTATTAAGATCCCATACCCGAACCGTTTTGTCCTCTCCAACAGACAGAATAAGGTCCTGATGGGGATGGAACAAGCAAGCAGAAGCATTCTGAAAGTGACCTCTGCAGGTATCAACTTCCCACGCTTTCGTTTCGCTCATCCTCCAGAGCTTTATCAGTCGATCATCACCAGCGGAGACTATTAGCGGAAGTGTGGGATGGAATGCAACCCAGTTGACGCCTCTGTCATGTCCCTCCAGAACGAACTTAACAACAGCATCTGTGTTACCAAACATGTCTGCCTGATTTGAGTTTGCTCGTGCTATCTGGTCTTCGAAACTCATAGATGTTGGCGCAGAATGCTTCTTGCGCAGACCTGAAATATCCCAGACCCTGACGGATTGATCAAGCGAGGCGGAAACTATTAGATCATCTTTAGGGTGGAACTGAGCACACATTGTGTAATGGTTATGACCCGTCATGGTGCATACTGGGAGACATATCAGCATTGAGCCCTGCCTAAGTTACAACTTCCCTACTCAAAGACCTGTTCTGCCAGTTCCATATCCTGATCGTTTGGTCGTCTGAGCTTGACAGTATCCAAGGCAGTTCATGATGGAAGAAGACAGTCCGTACATAGTCAAGGTGACCATTCAGTGTAAATAGACACCTGCGTGTCTGGTATGACCATACTTTGATTTTGTAGTCATCTCCACCGGAAACAAAAAGAGGCTGCGTTTTATGAAAGTCTATTCCTCGTACCGGGCCGTCATGCTCTTCAAACCGGTCGATGAGTGTGCCCATGCGGTAGTCCCATAACTGAATCGTAGAGGAGTGAAGCGACACGAGGATCCATGGCCTGGCGAACAGTTATTAATGAGTGCGCAAAACAAGATAACATAAATTTTACCTCTTGGGATGGAAAGCTATCCCCTTTGCCCTGGAGGATTTGGATTCAAACTACGCTTCAATCAGCACAGCACTGCCCACTGACAGGCGTCGCAGCATCGCACCTTTGTGAGCATGCTTGGGGAGGTCGACATGGTCGGAGGAGAGCTGCACCTGCAGCATCAAGATATGGCGTGCAGACCAGTCGCAAGAACAATCAAAGGGGATTCCTGAGCAAAATATGGGCATCGACAAGCAGAATAGGCTCCCACAATGTGGACATTCGAAAAGCCAGATTGACAAACTACACCCCGGGATTTTTGGTTGAAGGGTTCCACAGGGTTGCTTCGCCAAGCCTGAAACTGGTAGAAGAACTACTAGTACTACTAACTAGTACACTACTTAGCAGTACAGAGTACTAGCGCACCCAGATTGAGGGCTATGTTCTTCAGATGGACATGACAAATGATCCTATCAGTGATCGATGGGGGAGATCACTGCTCAACTATGAAGTATACTTTCGCAGTCGTCCAGTCGTGACTCAAAGGTGTATCAATCATTCATTTCTCGTGCTAGAGCCATGTCGCAATTCAATATATGTTTGCTCATTCCCCTTGCAGATGACTCTCCAGTCAGAAGAACACCCGGGATGCACCTGCTCAGCAAGATCACCTGGAATAAGCGACCAACCATGCTGGACCCTGTCAACCCATGGACCAGTCATTAACAGAGGACGACTATAGAATATGCGTCGGGTAGCATAGAGGATCCAGGCTCGACCATAAATCCCAGAACAAATCTCAACACCTCCTGGACGTACAGTGAACATGAACCAGCATCATCCCCTTAACCAAGCGGCCAACGGCGGACAGACATCCTCCGACCTGCATATCTACGAAATTCTGGATGATGAAATCGGTTACGATGCTGACGTGGAGACTGTGAGGCCGGACGCATACGAGGAACCTGATTCAGAGAAGAGCGAGGGCGCTACAAGTTCAAGTGAGAATGAAGAACGCTGGCAAGATGAGCTTGTGAAGCAGATGAAGACCCTAGATTGCAGTTCAAATGCTACGACTGTCTCCAATGAAGATGGTTCGAGCCGTGGCCGCAAGCGCAGATCGAAGGACGCTTTTGGCTCATCAGCTGTACAGGTATCTACAGGACTGTCAGAGAGTCGACTTGAAATCACCGAAGTCGCCGAAATCGCAGATGAGCAGGAGGCAAGGCCGCGGCCGAAGAGAATGCGGCGCAGGAGTCGGAGGTCTAAGACCATCCATGGGATTCTCTGTAAATCGTTGGGTAGCCAGTCTGAGCCCGGAGAGCATGAGAGATGGAGGACAGGCTCGAGAGCTGTTACAGAAGATTCTGTTGCAACCGAATCGTCACCTCAAGACCCTCTAGACGATGCTATGGAACTTGGCTAATGCCACCTCATCCTTTGTTTGTTGGATGACGTAGACCTTACCCCCTGTGTCTGAAAAGTTCTGGTCGTTTCTATGCTTCTACCTTGAGATAGGAAAAAAACTGGCATGGCGAAAGTCTCATTGGAGCAATCAGCTGGCACCAATGCCATCATCAGCATAAACGAATACTCCATGTTGTGGTATAGACATACTATCTAACATCTTCGATGTGCGTGAAGTTCTCCGGAAGACCACTGCACCATTTAGCCCTATATTAAAGGAGGCTAAAGATACACCCATATCCGTCCTTCAGTGCTGGCTGCTTGTCGATGTTGACTGGTGGAGGCAGAATAAAGACGGTATGAGTTATTGCTAGTACAGATATCTGGTGCTTCTTCATATGGTCTCGATAAATATCGACCAAAAGAGGCTTGAGTCAGATAGAAAATCCGGTTAAAGGGTCATGAGTCAGATAGAGACGCACTCATCAGTTTGAATACTTTTGTATTACCAACACTCTGTAGTCAATGAAGTCCTGAGCGGTAGTAAGTTAGCGTACAGATGAACAAAGACCACTGCAACACGCCAAGATATGAACACTTGAAACGCGTTCCTGATGTACGCGCACTAGTACCTGAGACCATGACGTAATGCGGATAAGCGCATCCGGTGCAGATCCGGGGCAAGCTTCGCATCCAATCGTACCTTGCTACTCTCCTGCTTTATCGCACACATCATACTTGGGAGCCGGGAACCAAGCGCTGCCCATATTTGGTGCATACAAGTCATGGCAGGCACTCGGTCTTCTTCTCGCCTGGCAGCACAGAGTTCTAGCCCATCCTCTTCACAAGGGAAATCGTCATCTCCCAAAGCCTCTGCCGGCACGAAGCGCAAGCAGGATTCGGACACCTCACCTGCTGCGAAAAAAGGCAAAACCACGAGCAAGAAAAAGCAGAAGACACTTGAAGAGACTGTCGGATCGTAAGAGACTTTGATCTTCCCTTTCAGTTGCTATGCTAATTCTAAAAGTAATGATGCCGACCAAGCGGGTGAGAATGAAGCAGATACCAAGAACGGAGATTCGAAGCCGCGCATAGACAATAGTGATAGCAACGGTAAAGAGGATGCCACCGAAACTCCGACAGCTGACGGCAAGGGCGATAAGGACGTTGAGATGAAAGACACCATCAAGCGCAATGAAGCAGAAGAGGAGGGTTCGAAGAAGGATGTCAATGTGGAGGCTCTGGACTCGAAACCTGATGCATCAGGGGAGCCTGAGGATGGCGCTGTCGAGCCTACCGAGCGTGAAGACGAGACACCGGCTAGCATACTAGAGAAAGGTATCATCTATTTCTTCTTCCGCGGAAGAGTCGGCATAGACGATCCCTCAAGCGTTGATGATATTGCTCGTAGCTACATGGTCTTGCGACCCTTGCCGCATGGCGCAAAATTGGGGGAAGGCGAGATTGGTGATGCTGGGAATTGTCGCCTGCTTGCCTTGCCGAAGAAGGTGTTGCCAGTCAGTGGCAAGGACCGTTTCATGGTCTTCGTCGAGAAGACCAAGATGACTTTTAAGGATCTCAAAGATTCTTTTCTGTCCGCTTCGGACTACGCCACAAAGACTGCTGGTACACGACATACCCCAGCAGCTACGCCTGTGGGCGAAGGAATCTACGCAATCACAACCACTGGTCGAGAATCACATTTAGCTTATATTCTCACCATTCCCGCAGAGCTGAGTGAAGTTCAGCAAGATATTGGACTTCGTGAAAGGGGCAGCTTCGTCACCAGTACTAAGAATCCGAAGTATCCTGGTCCGGCTAATGCCAACCTACCTAAAGGCCCTGATTACCCGAAAGAGTAAATTACCCCTGTCACTATTAGCTCGAAGACACTAACAAATGTTTCCAGTGTCCTCGACGAATTCCGAAGCTTACGATGGATGCCGCTCCAGCCAAAGCACCTTGATTACGTCAATACGCAATTCCTGGTCATCGGTGAAGGTCAGGGAGATATCGACAAAGCCACACAGCCGCAAGCCCAGGACGAAAAGGAGGGTAAGGAAAAGCCACTTGAGGAGCTGGAAAACTTGGAGGGCGAGGATGAAATTCGAGTCAAACATCTCAATGGTGCGGAGTATCCTCTGGCAATTCTACGCGATCCCTGATACGTGACTGACATATTACAGGCGATGATGCTGTTTTTGCCGATCTTCATATCAGCTCGAAAGACTACCCAAAAGTGCAAACAACATGGTAGTTGAATGGGAATGCTGCGGTATCCTGTATGAATAATATGGACAATTTTGCAAATTTCCGTCATTGCCTTTTCTTACATATTACCTCTTCCCCTACCATGATAATGGTCTCACGATTCTGGACCCAGCCCCCCAATCATTTTCGTTCGCCATAGATTCAAGCATCATCCCTCCTCTACCTTCTCCACAGCTGAGAACCCGATGACCCTATACCCATGTTCCTAAACTTATTGTCGAGCGCTCGTTTTAGACTCTTTAGTCACATCACGACAGCGAGTGGGCTTCGTATCGGATTTCCAGCTATGCACGGTTCAGTGTTGAACAAGGCTATCAGCGCAGTTCCAACCGCATCCTCAACACCGTTTTTCAAACAATATTTTGATACTCTGCATCACCTCACCTTCCACCACCACATCAATCCGCCCGTTTTCCTATCGCCCCCCGCTCGTGATTTCCCAGTACCTCAGCATCAAAATAATCATCAACCCACGACTCAATGGTTTTCATCCTCCGATCCAGCCGCCTTGCTCTATCTTCCTTCAGCGACGACAACTGAAGCCAGGCCAACCATCACCAGAGAATCATTTGCTGTGGCCGCTCGAGGGGTCAAAGATTGTCCTCCGGAGATATGAGCGTCTTCCCACGAGGGACAGTGCTGAGTAACCTGGCTTTATGCCATCGCAGGGCTAACAGGAGCATGATTATGCTGCTGGGGTAAACCTCAGAGTGAGTGCCACCCGTAAAGATAGAAATGGTTTTCCTTTCCTGTGTTACGGTGGCTCAGTCTGTTACTGCATTGAGCATAGACTTGCTTGTAGCCTTTGGGAGTTAGTGTTCGTGGTTGGGGCCCGGTACTAGTACTAGCCATTCACGGCTTGTGGTGCCGCATACTTCACGTCGCCATGTGAGAAGATGAGACCGGAATAGAGCTTGTCCGGAGATGTATGATCTATCAGAGCGTTAAAGATTCTTTGGTGCTGATGATTCTACGACTGAGTTGGAGATTCCGATGCACGCTATGCCGCCAGAAACGCCTTGTACCTATGCAACGCCGCCAACCAATTCACATATCATACACCACGCCATGTCTATCCCACCAACCTCCCTTTTCCTCTTTTTTTTCTCCTTTTCGAGACTCTCAATCACACCTCCCATCCCGCCACCCATCCCGCCACCTCTCCTTCCACAGCCTGCAATCAAACTCCGCCTTCCCCAGCTTCCGATTGACCTCGTTATGCGCCCTGCACATCCACAGCCCGAACTCCTCCCGGCCCCGCACGCGCGGCTCGTTCTCCGGCCTGCTGATCCAATCCTGGAAATCTTCGGCGCAGACCCAGCAGGGATACAGCTCGGAGAACAGGGAGAGAAATTGTCGCGTTTTGCTCTGCAGCGCCGGGGGCGCGCTGGGAGGGTAGGTGGCGCCGTCATGCTGTGCAGGAGGGTCCAGGTCGAGCGGCCGAGTTGTTCGACGTCGGGCGGGCAGTCCGGGGGTGTGGCGAGGAGGCTGTGGTGGATGATGATGATGATGCGGAGGGGGAGGTTTGGGATTTGGTGAGAGCGGCCCAGGAGGCGAAGGAGGTGCAGCTGCGGCAGCTGTGGTGGTATGTTCAGTCAGGAAAGGGGCGAATTCGGGTGGGGTTAGATGGGGGAAATTGGGAACGCTACGGTTTTCCATCTTTGCCCAGTACGACTCCTTTAGGTAGCTTTTTAGGCGGCGCATCGGACGAGGAGGTTGCGGGTTGCTTTGATACCGTGGAGGTGAAGGGTCGTTCTTGCGAGGAGCCTTCTGCCATTACATACGGCTAGCGAAAATTCTCTGGCCAGTGAAAAGCAGCTATGCATAACTCGGGGTGCGATGGCGTTCAGACCAAAGTTGTTGCTTCGTCAACTCTTGTTCGCTCTACCTTCCGTCCCGAGCGGGAGATCAAGATTAAGCTTTCCACCCCCATGCACACTTCAAGTTGGCTATGCTCGATTTGGCTATTCTATGCCGGTTTCCTGCTAAATGGTCTTGTACTGTTGTGTTCTACCTGAATTTGACAGTGGAAACATGAAGGTAATTCTAAACTCGTTGATGCGGAACGAAACCATTGTGCAATGCTTCCACAGCAAGCATGTTTGTCTCCAGGAGGTAAAACTCTTCTTGCTGGTGTCCTCCCTCTCAACGGGAAAATCCTCCTTCTGATCTGTGGCCTAGTGTATCTTACTACGTAGTACGTATTTCACAGCCACCCGCTAGAGGCACGATTGGACGAATCTTGGTTGTCTTGGCGGAGTATTTATACCATTTGCAAGATCGTTGCCCGCTCCTCGATACAGGAATGAAACAGTCCAAGATCTCGCTCAGCAGCCTACAATAGAGGCAGTCATTTACTTGAATTTGCTGGAGCTGAGGTTTATCGAGCTTCTGTTCACCATGAAAGTTCTTTGGGGCAAGTCCATGACAAGTTTGGCAGGTCATTTCGAAAAGTATTTAGAAGCCCCCAGTTGAGTCCTATCCTCCGGAGAATGTTGCACCTGTATCAGTACAACTACGCTGCTTCCAAATGGAAAAAGAAGCATGTTTTCCCCTTGAATTATTTCAGCGACGCCCATAGGCCCAAGTTGCTCCGTACTGCAGCTTAATCGTAAAATACCTAGCTGTCAAGCCCTGTTTAGGCTGGCTGTTGCTCCTTCAAGCTCAATGAGTCCATGAACACGTGACTTAACATTCACATGGTCCATCAGCAACCACAAGTTGCACCAACGAGGAAGATCGTCCGATAAGAGAGAGCTCGGCTGAGATTAGTTATCGGCAAGCACCTCGAGGCCACTGACGCTTGTGAAGAATGGGCTCCGATGGTGTCAACTACTGTACTAGTACCTGAAATGCTTCCAGCTTGGTCTGATTGATGCCAAGGCTCCCTTAGGTTGATCGCGGTGGTCGTCAATAAGTAACCTGTGGAGAATCGAGACCGGAGCGAAATATTCAAGTGCATATCATAGGCGCATATCATAGGCACGGATTGTGGAGGATATAAGATGAGCAATATGTTTTTGGAGGGTAACCGGGTTTGCTACGTGACTAACTAAAGATGCTGGCTGTACTTGTGTGGCCGCATGCGGAAGAGGTGCTGAGACTTCTGCTAACTAGTTAGGTAAAAGCAAGGTGCTGAGTGGTAAAATGGGAAGGCTCCGAGTCCGCCCAGCCGCCCAGCTTTTTCTGCTCATCCCAATTGATGCTGCGGGGAAGATCGTCCCGACCCGTCATTTTGGCGTGTTCTTCAGCCCCACTGAGTTCAGACGCGTTGCAATTTTCAAGATATCCCCAGCGAACGAATTGCGCTTACCTCACATTTCGGATCGCCATAGAGCGCGGATCGAAGTACGCCAACAATGTCTGACTCTGACCTCTCTGACGCACCTCGATCTGCTTCAATTCCTTCCTACTCGGAGCTCGAGCAAGCACTACGAACACAGGTACGCGATGCTTTAAAAGCGGGGAGAGGAGATGACGCTTCTATTACGGTTTCGTCGATGCGAAAAGCTGCGGAGGAGGCATTGGGGCTCGACGCTGGGTTTTACAAGAGCGATGAGAAGTGGAAAGGGGAGAGCAAGCGCATTGTCCTTGAAGCTTTTGTATGATCAATGTACGGGCCAGACGGCTTGGAGAGTGTGGCTGATTGCGTCTGTATAGGATGAATATGGAGCCGACCAGGGCTCTCCAGTGAAATCGAAATCCCCGAAGGCGAAGCCGTCTAAGACTTCCAAACCGCCCCCGTCGAAGAAACGAGCCTCACCGGAAGTTGATAATGATGCACCAAAGAAGCGGAAGAAGACTCAAGCTGGGTTAAGCTCTAAGGAGGCCCTCTCGACTCCACCTAGCGAAGTGAGCAAGGAAGAGAAGCCGAAGTCTAACCCGAAATCGAAAACCAAGAAACCAACGCAGAAATCCATACAACCAGCCAAGGCTACGAAGCCAGAGAAGAAACCCGAACCCGTGCAGGACCATACAGAAAGCGAAGTCTCGGACGCGCCGGACGCACCAGCCACGGTAAACGATGTAGAAGCATCAGATAGTGAGCTCTCAGTCTTGATCGACGAAGACCCTCCACCGAAAAAGAAGCGGAAAGGCTCTTCAGCAGCAGCGGAAAAGCGGGGCAGAAAACCCTCAGCTCCGAAAGCCAAGGCCACAGACGCAGACATTAACGATCCCGACCAAGCCGAAATCAAACGTCTGCAAGGCTGGCTAGTCAAGTGCGGGATTCGCAAGCTTTGGGGGAAAGAGCTCAAATCTTATGAGAGCTCTAAAGCCAAGATCAAGCATCTGAAGGAGATGTTGGCGGATGCTGGGATGACGGGGAGATACTCGATTGAGAAAGCCAGCCAGATCAAGGAGGCGAGGGAGCTGAAAGCTGATATTGAGGCTGTGAAGGAAGGTGCGGAGAGATGGGGGAAGGAGAAGGATGCTAAAGGGGCGGACGTCGATAGCGATGGGAGGAAAAAGCCAAAGGGAAGGTTGGTTAGGGGGTCTCAGGTGCTGGATTTTCTCAGTAGTGATGGTGAGGAGACGGATTGAGGCTCTAGCTTACCCTAAGAGGCTCTACACTTGAAGTTGCGGGATGCCTTCCAATGCGGCATACTCTTAGATCCTTCATCCATCTTCAGTCGCATCATGGCAACACTAACCCATCCATCTTGAGTCCTCCGTCTCGTCATTTGACCGCTTTAGCCGCCCCACTCATCCGCTGTCCCACAAGACTGAAAACAGCGATGGATGAAATGAACAGGACCAGATTGTAGAACTGAATGGACACACCTCGATCAGCCAACTGCCTCAGCATAGCCGAACACGGTTCCATGACTCAATGAATGTGGTGCTCACGGCGTTTCTAGAATATTCATTCTCTTCTGCTTCGGTTCGTGCTTCGACGAAGAGGCGGCGCAAGTTCGGAAGCGCCATTTGATGCTGACGGATGGCTGTACAAGAGGTAGTATCTGCGGTGCAAGGGGGAAAAGGGCTTGGATTGAAGGGTAGAACCGTCGCTAAACTAGGGGGACGAAAGGAAAGGCGATTAATGTATGTTCATGATCGAGCGTACTAAATTTCACTTCACACCAATACTGTGCATGCGAAAGTCGTGGGAATCCTTGGCGTTATAGCGAGAATTGCCGCTGCAGGGTTGTCAAACAGAAGCAACTCATAAAGGTCAATTATGGATTTGTATTATATCACTAACATATTAAAATGATGCTGAGCTTCGTCTGATTCTTTTGATGTAAATAAATATAGTAATGTACAATCTGAATCATAAAGTTGACTATTCATGTATTCACTTCTTTTAACGGAATCTTGTATATCTAAGATCAATATTATTAGAATCGGAAAAGGTTAAGCATCATTTTGTTATATTATTTGATGATATAAATCCATAGATGACCCTCAAGAGCTGTTTCTGTTTACAACCACGCGGCGGTTACTCCGCACAGCCTCCACATTTTCGCAAGATTTTCGCAAGACTTTCGCAATGCACAGTGTCTCTCTTGGCAACACAAGACGCTCACCCTCAACCCTCAACCCTCAACCCTCCACCCTCCAACGCCGCTTTTACAACCACCACAAATCCACAGGTGATTCGTGGGTGAGCAACGTGTGATTCCGCCTTATGATAGTCTATCATTGGTGGCCTCCTCTATGGTGGCCCTAGACCGTTCTGTTTAATTAAGGTAACGGAAGACCTAATACCCCACCTAATACGACAACCCTCTTCTCTTTTTCTTCTCTGTTTCCTGTTTATCTCCTTCTATCTTTGTCTTTCTGGCGATCATACAGCCAACTTTTCTCTCTAAGTTTTTACAATCCACTATGAACCAATCCTCGATCCTGTTCCAGCTATTCCTCGTGTCACTGAATGGGTGCCCCTGCCTTAATAAGAAGATTAGCGTTTCCATGCGCTTAAATGGATTTGAGTAAGAAATTTTGCTGCAGCCTTGGCAGAAAGAACACTAAATCTGATTGAACTACAAATGCTTTCTTCTCTGCACTACTCTACTCATCCAGTCTATTATCCCTTGTGACCCCGAATAACCCCTGTCGTGGTCCTCCTGCCGTTGGGAATGATAAGGGCATCTTTGATAGCTTTAGCGTTCTAATATTAAGACCTATAAATAAGTCTTTACATAATTGTTATTTATTAAATTAATCTTTAAGCTATCCCTTGTGTAAGAGGTACCCGCGTTTAACAGTAAGGTTATTTCTGCAGCCTTGGCATTAGGAACATCAAAATTATGGGAGTATGCTGCAGCCTTGGCGTTAAGAACATCAAAATTCGTTGAGACCTGGCTGCAGCCTTGGCGTTAAGAACATCAAAAGTGAATTATAAGAGTAAAACTTTAATTAGCTGCATCAGGCTAATTAAGAGAGTTATAAGTCTATAAATAGTATTATTCAGTAGCTCTTGAAATTCCTTATTTAAATATATAGTTTTTACGCTAATAAGACTACTATATATAAAGGAAAATAGAAAAAGGTAAAATAGTATTAGTTTTTAAAATTACTTTTGAGATTAACTTTGTTATTATAATAGATATATATTTATAAATAATATATTATATTCTTTTACTTATAGACTTTTAGAAAAACTTTAATTAAGATTTATAGCCTAATTATATAGACTTTGTTAAGCAATACAGCTTTAGCTAGTACAGCTGTATAGCTAATAACCTCTTTGCAAGGCAGCATGAACTGCTGTAACTACTAAAAGGATTTGGCTATACATGTACAGCCAAATCCTAAAGCGGCTTAGCGCTACTCTGGCACGTTATGTGCCCTGATTTCCTGTGCCATGGCACAGGAAATCCTATTTAGGTAGTTACTAGAAAATCTAGATAGGAGAATGTATAACACTATAGAGTAAGAACTTCAATAGATTATAAGCCCGGCTTCGCGATCACTAAATAGGTAAGCAAGGAGGCAGCTCTAGCAAGCTTTACTTCTCTTGAATAGGTCAGATAAGCTCCTACCTAGCTTATCTCATCCTTCCTTTAATTGAACGAGTACGCCAGGCTGCTGAACTGCCACATCCTTCCTTCAGTACTCTCTGTTACACTTATTCTGTTTGAGCTGAACTCTATTCGTGTTCTGCTCTGTTTACTAGCTATCATATAAGCTAATTAACTCTATTTGCAGGAGAGAGACCTAGAACATCTAGAGAAGGCCTAAGAAGCTTCTCTATTAAGCTTATTCTATTAAGAAAAGAGAGACTTTAGACGACAGAGCTATTTTCTTATGTTACATCTGGTTTGCAGGATCTGCTAAAGTGGCTGCAGAAGTATAATGAAACTAGTATCTCTTCCTCTTTAGCTGTTTGGCTATTTCTCTTAAGACAAACTATAAGGGCTATAAGTTAAGCATATAAATAATGAAATATTTATCTCTTATAATTTTTAAGACTTATTAATTATTAATAATAACTCTGACTCTTAAGAAGAATAACTTAATTAATATTTAGTAAGCTTTTTAATCTTTAATAAGTATATTAAGAAATTAGTTCTTTCTTTTAATTTACCCTTATTATAATTAGTATTATCTTTTCTAAATATTACTAAAATATTAGGATAAAGAATACTTCCTTAAAGTAATTAATAACTATACTTAATATAATATTATTTTATTAGTGTTACTTAAGTAAACATTACTAAATAATTTTTTATATAGAAGAAAACTATAAAATTATAGACTAAAAGAAGACTTAAGGTTATCTATATTAATAATATAAAGAAACTTAATTTAAGAGTTTAGATATAAGCAAATAAATCAAGTATAAAAGTATAACCTATAATACTATATATATTAAGCTAAAATAAAACTACTAAACAGACCTTATAATCTACTTAATTTATTATATAATTAATACTTACTTATACTTAACTTTTAAAGGATTATTAGAACCTTATAGTTTTAGTAGCCTTTTTTATTAAGAATAGGCTTCCTAATAGTCCTAATTTAGAAAAGAAAAATAGTAATAAGCCTAAGCAATCCCTTAAGTAAGCTTAGTCTAAGAAAATTTCTTAAGTTAATATACTTTGTGTCTTTAGCTTAAAGTGCTTTATTTATATAGATAAACCAAAAAATAAAGTAAGCTAATATAGAGAGGTAAGCATCTTTCTTAGATATACTAATATTACCTAATACTAAGTAGAAATAGTCAAAACTAGTATACTAAAAAAAGTAAATGCAGCTTATGTCTTAATAAACAAAACTATATCTAATAGTACTCTCCTCTTTAGCTTAACAAATAATAATAATATAAATTTATTAAGAGTAAGAGAAGGATTAGAGAAACCGCTAAATTTATTTACTAAGAAGGATATAAAACTAGTAATATTAAACAAAGGATTTAGCTTAAGTAAAAGTATAAAGAATGTTTAGAAAGGTCTAAAGCTGCCTAGTAGCTTAGATGAAAATGTCTAAAAGAATCTAAAACTGCTTAATAGTTTAGAGATTACTAATAAACCTTTATTATCTGACGCCTCCTAAGCTCTTAAGGCATCTTTATAACTAGGTTTATACTCTAATACTAAAGCAGCAAAGAAATCAGACTTAGTAAGAGCTAATAACTCTTTTAAAGACAAATTATCTAATGCGGTAAGTAAATTTAGCTATATATATATAGCCAAATTATTGCCTAAAGCAGAAACCTCCTTAAGAATTATTATTAAGATTCCTCTATTACAGCACGTGAACGCACTAGGCACCAACAGGCCTTAGAGGCTGCACGGACCCTGTGTAAAGAGACCCTGAAACTAACTAAGCCTAAGGGGCTTAGCGAAAGGACACGCTTATGCAGAGACAACCTTAAGCAAGGTGTTTGTAAGGAGGAACTGATAAGCAACGCTTATAAGCGCTTATAAGTGAGCAGCTATAAGCACGAATCTCTTAGCCTATATAAGCATGCTCATTTCCCAGATAGTTTTATAGTCTTTATAATCAACTTATGTTATCAGCTTATACCTAAGTTAAAGACATCTTAGTATTATTTACTGTACTTCTTATTCTACCTAAATAACTCTTTAAACCTAGCTTTTAGTTAAGACTTATCTTAACTAGTTAAGCCTTAATACTTTAATTACTATTCTTAAGAATACTAAGTACAGTTAAACAGATACTATATATATTACTTAAGGCATATACTATATCAGTAGCCTTAGGATCTACCGCTACTATTAAGGGCTAAGAAAGGAATACATAGTTTAAGGTTACACTACTAGATCTCTTTTATAAAGACTAAAAAAGACTTTAAGAATTCTTAAACTAACTAAGAATTAACTTCTTATTTTATATATAAGCAGTAAATATAAATAAAAAGAAAGTATTATATATAGCTATCTTTCTTTAAGGGGCTATATATAACTAGTTTAAATCCTACTTTAAGGACAAGCTTAAGGAAGCATTAAAGGATTAAGAACTAGATATATAACAAATCTTTTATAGTTTTACTAATTTTGTAATCAAGATTAAATAAGTGTATAAGGACATAAATATAGTTAAGAAAGCTAAACAAGACCTATTATATATAA